TTTTTTTTTTTTTTTTAACCACACACCAGCGCTGCCGGAGAAACATGGTGCTGATGTTAAACTCTTAAAAACTTTTTGAAGATTAGAAACACCCCACAAGTGTTTTTTAGATGATTTTAAGAAATGGTATTCATCTGAATTATGCTACTGATGCTGACTGAAAACAAGGGGGATTTTAAAATCAAAGGCACGTTTGGCTTTTTGTTGTTATAATTAACTACGTTAATATCTTTCCTTCTTTGAAGCTTGCAATATTGACTTTTTGACTGAGTGAAAACAGATTTGTTTCCTTGTATAAATCAAAAACATGTCCACCAAATGTGTTTTTCTCCATCCAAGAAAACAATAAATCTCATATTTTGCTTTAATTTGATGCGACTACAGACTGAACAACTTGGCAGGTGTTGGTGAGAAAACGTCAGATGAGCCATTTCCCTTTGACTCAGAGACAACCTGGATCTAAATAATAAGCAATAATAAGTGTGAATATGCATGTTATTTCAACAGTGTCATAACCTTTTTCTTTAAATTGCCAGTTTTAATATTTCTTTTGAAGAAATTCAAAGATTAATCCATTTGTTCGCTTAATGACAGCACAGAAAATCTAAATATTTTCAGCCATCAATCATCAGTGATGCATCTGTGGTGCTCCTAAGGTTCAAATTTTGGTCCCTTCTTGTTCTCTAGTTCTTCTATGCTTCCACTAAGACTATACACATTTCTCCTGTGACCTGTAGTACTCTTTTTCTATCTAGATTATTTGGTGATCAGCCTGGTTTGGAGAGATCAGCATCTTTTGGTTCTCAAAGGACCCCAAAAAATTTTTTTTTTAAAGTTTCCGGAGTGACATCTCTTTATGTTATGACCAGGTCCCCCGACCAAAACAAAAAACCATCAGCATCAGAATGAGACAAGTCACTTATTTGTGAGAAGCATTTTTCTTTTTGTGCTTTACATAGGACATGAATGTTTGATCTTGTAAAACAATATGCATAACTTAATAAAAATACTAGTTTGTGAAACTGGAGCAGTGATACAAATGAAACCCTCTTGCAGCCTTAAACAGAAGGACTGTCCTTCCTCTGGGACGGATAATCTGAATAATGCATCAGACTTACTGTGACTGATTCAATAAGACACTGTTGCATAGTTATCACTGTGTTAGAGAACACGCAGTCTTTCAGCTAGGAACAGTGGAGATGACTTTAGCATGGAAAACTGCATGATTCATACTGGACAGCTAAGATTCAAACTCATCAAATATACATTCAGCATCCACAGGTTCGGTTCATGAGTTCCAGTTGTGATAAAAGCTTCTGTTTTCTCAAGGGGTTATTGCTCTGTGACTCGACAGACTGATGGTTCACACTTGCTACAGATGTCACTTATTAGAACAGCTGGCACAGCAGGTGATCTTGTTTTTTGCCAGTTTAAGAACACCTCACTGCATTCACTGATTCACTCGGTATCATTTCTAAGTGTTTGTTTTTCTGCCCCTCACATTTCATCAGGCTCGGCACAAAAAAGGCAGCCCCCCCCCCGTGGTTAAATGGAAGAATGATCTATTGAGACGTCAGTCACTGGTCCGTCATTCTGCGTCATCCACAGGTTTTTAGAATATGTGATGGTCCAGGCAGAAGCACAATCGAATAGCTGTCCATTCATGTCTTTAAAGGAAGACGTTCCCTTTCTTCTCACCACTGCATGTGTGGGGGCTGTGCGTGGCCGTGACTCTTATCTCTGTACTCCGTGTGCAGCAACTTTCTGGCCTGTGACGAGTCCTGACCCTCCAGCCAGTCCTGATAGAGGGTGTGCAGGGTAGGGTTGAATTCTGGGAGCCGGACTGGAAGGCTGCTGTAGATCTCCTCCATCTGGTTGACCAAGGCTTTGTCCAGCCGGCCTGCACCTCCCTCACTCTCAGCCTGACCGCGGCCGCTCAAGCACCCTGAAGGGAAACATAGGAGGAAAGTTAAGGGTCACAAATCTTAAAGAGCTGGCAGCAGCATGTCTGAGCTCATGGGCCGTGATGGGCGTTACCTCCGGGGCAGGACAGCACCTCCACCAGCTGATAAGGCACACGTCCCTTTCTCATACGGTGAACCAGAGTCTGGATGTTCCTGAAACCATAGACAGCAGCAAACTGCAGAAGTGTTTCACCATCCCGCTCTAGTGTCACTTCCTGGAAGTCCCGATTCCTGTAAAGTCACCAGCAAAGGGATGATACACATAATCAAAGAAAAGTGATCTTTAACTGATCCATCCACTGCCGTGTTTTAAAAACCCACATCACACTGCTAAGCTGATTAAACTGGTTTTTCACCTTTACACAGACAAAGTAGCAGCTCTTAAGTACAGACTGACGCAGCAATGTGGGGAGTGTAGGATCACAGGGTCAGTCTTAGTTCAAAGTTAGCTCACAGTGAAGTTGGTGTGACAACAAATTTTGTATTGCTCATTGTTAATAATTGAATTGAAAGGAAATTAAAAGCAGCAGATGTGCATAAAGTTGACAATGAAGGAGGAAAGAAAACACTTTCCGCGCATCTGTTGATGCGCCAAACATACAAACAACCACAGTAATGTCATAATTTCACATTAACAGATGGACAAATGGATTAAAACCCTAACCCCATCTCCAGAATGACACAACCGTGAGGTATTAGAACACAACTATGCCGACTGGGCCGTCTCTCACCTGAGGGTCTTATATGTGATCTCCTGGACGTCCACACCAAAGAGTTCTTTAGCAGCGTGTTTGAACACGTGTTCCAGGAAACCTTCAGAGCCTCTGCCGTCATGTCTCACCAGCGCCACGTCTCCACCGTCTCCCAGCCTACAGTCACAGTCAAAGCTGCATTGACACAGGCTCAGAGGTTGTATCCAGTCACGTAAACATTACACATCAAAGTACAATTTATTAACACTCCAACTACATAGCACTGACGTCATCGTTTACATTATTAAAAACAATGCTCTCAGCTACTCACACTTGGTCCAGTGGAACTGAGTCCAGCTCCTCCACCGACACCTTCCTCTGCTCCATCAGGTAATAAATCTGCCCTGGAACATGAAACATGACTCTTACTTTGACAGTGCTCTCTTTCATTATCAACTACAACACTCACTGGCCACTTTATTAGCTACACCTGTTTAAAGGCTTATGTACAGATGGACAAGACGACCTGCTGAAGTTCAACGTGAGCATCTGAATGTGGGAGAAAGGTTCTTTAAGTAATTTAACTGCATTTTTGTTGATCTGAGTATTTCAGAAACTGCAGATTAAAGTTTTTCCACCCAACCATCTCTAGGTTTTAAAAGCTGGATAGTGTAGTGGTAAGACTACACACTTCTGGAGTGGTGGTCGCAAGTTCAGTTCCCACCTGGTATCCAGTAAGGGTCCTGTCACGGCACGGCTATGTCTGCAGCCTGTTCGCAGTTCAGGACACAAGCATTTCACTGCATGTTCACTATATGTTGAACTGTGTATGTGACAAATAAAATTTGTATTTGTAAAAAAGAAAACACAATGGCTTGTTCATGTGAGAGGAAAATGAACGGAATATTATGAGCTGACAAGAAGGCAACAGTAACTCGAATATGTCATTTTCTGCTGTGACATTCAGCTGGTTTGGCATAAACAACATGCTGCCCAGTATGAACTATTGCTGTTACTGGTGATATTTTCTTGGCACACTTTGGACTGCAGCTGAGCACTGTTTAAAAACCACAGTACAGTTGCTCATCATATCCATGCCTTTATGACCAGTGTACCCATCATCTGATGGCTGTTTCCAGCAGGATAATGCACACAGTTGCACTGATGTCAAACTGGTTTCTTGAACATAACAATGAGTTCACTGTACTCAAATGACCTCCAACAGTCATCAGATCTTAATCCAGCAGAGCACCTGATGATGTGGTACATCATAGATGTGCAGCAGCTGTGTATCATACTAGTATGAACTGAAACCTCAGAGGAATGCCTCCAGCACTTTGTTGAATCTGTCCATCTATGCCACTAAGGCTTTTCTGAAGGTAAGTGGGGTTCAACCAAGTATTAGCATGGTATACCTAATAAAGTGGCCAGTGAGTGTACATTTTACAATGATACATGAAGTGATACTCTGGTTGAAACAAAGAAAGTGAAGAAGAGGAAACATGGTTGGTTGGTTGGTACATGCAGGTGCATCAAATGAGTGCGAGTGCAGATTTCTTTTTTAGCCACAGCTGCAGCTCTCCCACAGTTGCTCACTCTGACATGCTCTGTCATACTGGGGTCAGCTGCTCTTAATCTTAAATGGATCTAGAGACAAATGGCTGAATCTCAAGAAAACAAAAGAAACCAGATCAGCATCCTGCTGGCATAATTACAGTGATTATATTCGAGTATCCATTATGACCTTTCTGAAGAACATTATAGCTGTTTAAAGCAACTCTTGGAGGAAACCTTTTAAGGATATCAAGTAATTCAGCCTTTCCTCTGCACAAACAATCCTCAGGTTTCAGATACACCTCTAGACAGTAAATGTGTTCTGCTGAAACCAGAGAGAGGGGTCTAACAAACTCTAATATGGTTGCAAATATGGTCTTTTTAATAATCTTACCTGAGGTAAGTACACAGTCTACATCCCTGGTCTCCAGCATACTGTTGTAGAACTCTTCTCTGACAGCTTCTAGCTTTTTATCAAAGCAGGGAGCCACCACCACATGGTAGAGTTTCTCTGGACTCAACTTCTGCTAGTACAGAAAACACGACAAAGACATAATAAGAGAGATTCTCTCTCATAAAATACAGAACTCAGTCTGACATTAGCCTTGGATTGTTCAGGTTTGAGACAGTACAAACACTGACTCAGATGGAACGTGTGGTTTGGGACGACGTGACTACATTAGGTGATCAAATACTGAACATTTAGAACAGCCTTTTGGCTCACAGTGATTTTTACACGTTTGGTAAATTTACCTCTTTAATTTTACATTATTTTAAACTTTGGCTACATTTTTAAACATCATTTTAAAAAAAACAAAAAACAACCCACAACAGTTATTTTGAAGGATTTTAAGTATTCTTTTTAGTATAATTTAAAATGACAGTTATCATTAAAAAGAATTAAAAAAAAAAAATCGTAATGGCATAGATCCACTCTGTATGTGTTCTCACTGCACCTGAGAGTGGTGTAATCTGATACCCTTGGCACTACTATTGGCTGGATGCCACACACCCACTGCCCAAAGGTTGAAGCCCAGGAACATGTTGAACACAGCAAAATAACAAGAAAATGTAGCAATGGAGACAAGTGCCAGGGTCATCTGCCTGCATTGTTATGGCTTATTTTAGTAGGTCGCAAGTCATTTAAAAGGATGATCTTTGTATGTATAAATGAAGTTATATCTGGTTGTATTTACAAGTGCTACTGGCACTACTGAATATGCCAACAAAACATCCCAGCTAGCAATCATGAATAACTACGCATGTTCTTTTTAACCTTCTGCTTTTTCCTCAATGACAGTTTAATAAAAGAGCTTTAATGCAAGGTGTTACACATTTGTCGGGCTTCATTTCTGTTGCAGGATATTTTGGCTGAGCTGCTGTTAAGATTTTAGGAGCGGTTCATTAACATTAGTTCATTTGATGCATTCTTTTTCTGCATTTTGTGACAGCTTAAATTAGAGGTAATTTAACACAGGGCCTCAGAAGTGGTGAAACTTGTTTTGGTAAAGCACTTCCTGAACTACAACAAGTCCTAGCTCACATGTTGGGTGAGCAAAGTTCCCGGTCTTAACCTATTAGAGACTTTTCTAATAGAAAAAAGATTTAGAGCAGCATGAAGACCTTTTAGCCAATCAATGTTAGCCATCAGTCCCCATCAGGCTGATCACCTCTTACCTCCATTATATTTAACTCTTACGCCTATACAACAGATTAGTTTTCATTTATTTACCCTTCCTTATTTGTCGACAGACACTTAAGTGGTAGAAAGACCTCCAATTACCCTGAGACCTTTGACTGTGAGTTGTCACAGTGGATCAATGCTTACCTGCTGTTTAGAGAAGTAGTCTTTGACCAGACACCCCATGATCTGTTGGGGAGACCTGGCTGTGCAGATATGAGGAGTGACCAGGCTGCCCAGAACACGCTCTGAATAGCGGATCCACCCTGTAAACACACAATGTTAAAATAACCCTTAGCCTACTGTGCACGCGTGGCTCAGGGGGTTGGGAATCGCATCTGTAACCGCAAGGTCGCCGGTTCGATCCCTGGGCTCTCTGTCCTGGTCGTTGTGTCCTTGGGCAAGACACTTTACCCTACCACCTACTGGTGTTGGCCAGAGGGGCCGATGGCGCGATATGGCAGCCTCACTTCTGTCAGTCTGCCCCAGGGCAGTCTGACAGTCTGTGGCTACAACTGTAGCTGCCTCCACCAGTGAATGAATGTGAGAGTGAATGAATAGTGGCATTGTAAAGCGCTTTGGGTGCCTTGAAAAGCGCTATATAAATCCAATCCATTATTATTATGAATTGAAGTTTTTTATTTTAGAAACACACACCAAGAGATAAGAGGAAAAAAATCCACATAGTCCAATACATTTCTTTCATGATGATAAGCCGGCTTGCTATTTAATTACTGGTCGTTCCTCACCTGGAGGCGAGCAAAGCCCTCCTCCATGGCCAGTGTTAGACCCCACAGGATGAATACCTGGGTGTCTGCATGCACGTGTATAGCTGCAATTAAAGACCAAAAAAGTTCTAGCGTCCTATCTCTGATAAAGGGAGTGGTGCAGGAAGAGCTTCCTATCTTTCCCCAGCAGCTCTCTGCTATCTGCACCTCTAAAACCCCAGGTTCAGCACACGCACAAAAATTCACTCAAGAAAGAGCCCGGGGACTTGCAGAACAAAGAAATCTTAAAACTGAGGCAAACACCAGCACAGATGATAATCACACTGACAAACCAGTACAACGGGGTGGGGGTTTGAAAAAAAGAGGAGAAGAAGAAGCAGCAGTAAAGAGTGGGGGGAGTATGAGGAAGGCAAAGAAGAGAGGACGGTTTACCTGGACAGGAGGAGGTGAACATGGGCAGGGCGTGGGAGTCATGGTGCCTCCTGCGATATCGCTGAATAAACTCCTTTTGACTCTCTAGGATGCTGAAGCCAGCTGCCAGAGTGGTGTCAAACACATATTGCACTCCTGCAGGGAAAACCCAGAGTGACGAAGCAGAATGCACACAACAAACAGGGAAATGTTGAACATGTATGATAAACACCAGGGCGTACGGGTAATCCGTGCACACCTGCTTGCAGAAAGGTAAACTTAAGTCTGTTTAGCAGAAAAGTGGGAAGTACGGCCAAAAAAAAAAAAAAAAAAAAAGTAGTAGCTTTTTTAAAAATAACAAAACAAGCTAACAACAGAAAGAAACAAAAAGGAGAGAGTAGGAAACTTATGGTAAAGTCTACTTCGTATTTCATAAAAGAAAAAAAACTCAAATCACCGATGTGCTTGAGGAAGCCGCAGAGCTTGTGGGCCGCTTCAGCGATGTCCACACCGAACTTGACAGCAAAGAAAGGCAGAGACTGCGGACACACCGACGCCACCAGCACCTTGTGCTTCGACGCATCACACTTCTGACAGGGACAGAGGAAGGTGTTGTTTAGCAAGCGCAACAAGGCAGCGCAGAAACACTCCCTGGTTTCAGAGGACGTGTACCTTATTCAGCGCCAGAACTCGCTCCACTTCCTCCAGACCCTGCTGAGAAATCTTCAAGGTGTCCTCGTCTGACAGACAGCCGTCACAGGACAGGCATGCGCTCAACAAAAGCTGGGAGCCTTCATTCCCCTGAAAAAATTAGATTTTTTTCACCCCGACAACCTTTGAAGTGGGCTACGTTTTATCTTCCTGTACTGGTTATTACCTGCCTTAAGCCTACTATCTGCTAAAAGCATCTTAATCTGAATCATGCTGAAATAAAGAACTGTAACTTTTTAGACTTTATCCTCCCTGTGAACTTCAAACAGTCTGAAAGGATGCATGAAATGCACATGCATGAAAACTGCTTAACATGGGAACATGATGAGGACTGATTCATGTAGAGCAATTAATGACTAGAGTGCACTGGGTAAGCAGATACTACCTGCCCATTGACTTCTTCGCTTTCCTGGTTTGAGTTGGCCCCATCTTCGCTTTGCTTCTTATTGCACTGTGTGTAGAAAGATCATTAAACTCAGCTCAGAACTGAGAGCAAGAAAGAGGCAGTCAACCAACCCATTTATGAGACAGTGTAGTGCTACAGAGCCATCATCATACCTGTTTGGTGCAGTTCTCGCACTTCTCCTTGCGCTTGGCTATGTTGACCTCTGACATTTTCTTCAGCAGTTATATCTTTAAATTAAGAGAGACACACAGAGATTAACATCCCAGCTCCACACAGCCTAAAGTTTCCTGTAATGAAGGCAGAGGCGACTACTCTTTGCTGTTTAATTAACTCCACCTTCCACTGACTGCTTCCAGCGTCCTATCACAGGCGGGCGTTTTTATCATAAACAAAACAGCTTTATAATGGTGGGAAACTGAGTGCAAGCACAAGCTAGTCTTCTGTCATTACATCCCAAATTGCTCGGGTTAATTATATAAACAGAGTCAACAGAAACCGCCACGAAGTCCATTACGTCAGATTGCGTGCGCGTGAGGGGAAGCGCGAGAAGTATGGGCTGGAAGCTACCGTGCTATTAAAACCTATAGAGAGTTAGCTTGTTGTATAGAAACAGTCTTACTTTCATATGATACAAAAATACCTTTTAAAAAATCTAGTTTGGGGTGAATATATTTATATCTTTGAATAAGAATAGCCAAATCCTTAAGCATGCCTCACGTTAACAAGCTACCTGGTATGTTAGTTTTGCTGCCCTTAAATATACCACTTGAAAACACGCTATTTCGGTCCAGGCCTTTTTGGGGTTTCTACATTAATTCCTGTGTGGGACCGAAGCGTGCATGCTGGTTTAACGGCGCGGCAGACGCAGTGTAACGCTGCAAGGTCGAATTTTAAGGTAACTCACCGGACGATTTATTTCACTGCTCTTTCGGACAAAGACATGAGGAAAAAATGTAGAAGAGCAGCCAGTGCTAAAGAAGACTACATACAGGTGAACTCGACAGTTACTCAGCACCCTTCGTTTTCCGGTCAACTCGTCTGTGGACGGCGTCACCGCCACTGTTGGCCGCCAGGCTTGAACCTCTGCGGTTATTTCATAATACTCTAACTGCCGCTTACAAAAGCGACGAGACTCCTCTAGTGTCCAAGCCAGTCGTCCGACTCCATTGTGTACCCCGGCGACCTCTGAGCGCATGCGCAAACTGGGTACGAGTTGCTCCGGAAGCTCGTGTGTAGAAAGACGTCTTCTTACCTCACTTCACACTAAATTCAAATGTGATAGAAACAGCTTTGATAAAAACTCAGTTTAGGTATTTCTGAAAAGAAAACCTGTGTGGTTATTATCGAGTTATGAACGCCTTTTCAAATTGTTACTATGTTTGAAACATTTAAGTACGCAATCATATATACTACTTGCTTGCTTATGGTAGGCGTATGCAGGCAAATGTAATGTTTAAATGTAAAATTTAAAGTAAAAAAAACCTTTCTTTCTTTCTTTCTTACTTACTTTTTTCTTTCTTAAGCTTTTATTTTGAAGGCGTGATGAAGTAAAGCTCGCCCTGTTCCTGGAAGGAAGTGTTTCCCCTATGGGACTGTTTTGTTGCAATAATATGAATAGAACTTCCTTATAATTTCAGCGGTTGCGTTCCCTTGTACGCATTCTTCTTTCCTAAATCTACAAGGCAAAAATTTATAAGAAAAAAAGGCGATTTTAAGGTAAGCAATACCGATTTCATATTACTGTGTCTTTACCTGTTCTGCAGAGATTGTTGGTATACGTCACGCTGAGTGATCGTGGTCAGCAGCAGCAGCAGGGGCATCTTTCTTGTCTCGTGTTTTCAGATCCAGTTTAAAAAAAAACCCGTATGTCTGATCAGAAACATATATGGAACAAAAATGTAGATCAAGCCACGAGAACAGTTTGAGTTTTATTTTGCCATCACCCCTGTACAGCAGTACAGCAGCAGGTAGGTCTATGCCACTCAGAGGACTGAAACATGTTAAAACATCAATGTGTGACCATGAAACACATTTCATCTTTGATATTTCTTCAGTTAGAAAACAAACAAAAGATCCACTGCTTACAGCAACTTGTCTGGATTATTTTTGAGAAACCATCTTGGTTTATTTTGAGGTAATCCAAGCTTGTCTGATTTGCAAGGGAGGCTCTGGGGTAAAAAAGTGAAGACTTGGTCCCTATTGAATAGCTGTTACTTTGCTGTCTGGGCATTGTATTGAAGCAGAGCACGGGTCTGGTATAGCTCCTTTTGGGGTTTTGATTTGATTAATTTTAACTTAAAGATACGAAATATAAAAGCTGAAACTGAAAAAAAGTGCAGAAAATACATAGGGTGATTCACTAGTTGTTTACATTTCACTGAGCTCTGGCCCTATCAGATTTATTATAATGGCAATTTGAAAATGAACACAGACGTGAATGTTTTACAGTGGCTCTTTAAATTGAGTTCACTTAAAACAGTCCCTTCCTTTAAAGGAAAGGTCTGTGAAATTATGGAGTAAAGCAGGTTTTGCAAGTTTTTGCACTTTTCCCACTGTAAGAAATCAAAGGTTTTAGTGTTTCTAAACTGCTGGGTTCTTGTCTTTGTTTAGATGGGATACATGACAGTAGAAGACCAGAGCTCCACCCTGCTCCACCTAAAGAGATCCCCGGGGATCCGTTCGTGGTCTCTTCTTGTTGGTAAGTTTGTTTTTTGTGCAAATGTTGTTCCCATACTCAAATATGACATGCGCTCTCACACTTCAGTGATGGAATATTCCCTTGAACTGCTCCAAAACCATAAGCCTCTTATTTTCACTGCAGGTATAGCATCTGTTGGCTTAACAGCTGCATATTACAGCTCAGGTATGCAAGCTAAAATTTATATGATATGTCATCTTAACTTCCAACACTTGAGTACAGCTTTCTTTTCTTTCCTTGTGTTGCGTCGATCCCGCAGACAGCATCCCGTGGAAGCTCTTCTACGTGGCCGGCTGTCTGTTTGTGGCCATGCAGAACATGGAGGAATGGGAGGAGGCTGTGTTTGATAAAACCAAGAACCTGATTGAGCTTAAGACCTTCAGTTTATACACTTTAGTCCTGACTCTGTGGAGGAAGGGCCAAGAAAAAGGTGAGTAAAACCACAGAGGGGGCTGGTCACTACAGCTCCATTAGTGAGCTGAGAGGCCACAGTAATGGATCTTACCATTGTGTTTTTTCTCTCCATCTCCCAGTTGTGCTGGATCTGGACCAGCTGTGCGATATCTGCGTACAGGAGGAAAGGGTGCGTTATTTGGGAAAAGGTTATCTGCTGATGCTGAAGCTGGCTGCAGGCTTCTCCTACCCCCTCACTCAGAGTGCCACGCTCGGGGGACGCAGGTAGGTCACCGGCAGTTGACAGTTCAGCACAGGATCTGATTTAGTATGAAGTTGTTGCTAGATGAAAGATAAAATAGAGGTTTGATGTTCAGATTTTCAGTATATTAACCCCATAAAATTAAAACTTGCAGTTAATACATGTTTAGCTACCAGTTTATTAGAGGGCTCGTAGCTAAAACACAACAACTGTATAAGAGATCCTTCCTGCATTGATTTATTTTGTGGCCAATCTAGAGGCTAGAATTTATGTTGCTGTTAAACTGTGCTGACTTCTAAAGATAGATGTTTGTTATTCAGCCTGCCCTCATCAATAAATAAATCAATAGCTCTCTTACACAGTTCAAACAAAAACCAAAGAACACAGAATTGACTCCAAAACAGTTCTGTTAGATTTTAATTATTTTAGCTAGTAGATGTGTGTGCCAAGTGTTATATAAACATTAAATGAGTCGCCTGTCTTCACCGTTTAAATCAGTTCAAATCAGTTCAAATCAATTATATCTCTACAGCGCCAAATCACAACAATGGTCGCCTCAAGGCGCTTTATATTTTAAAGTAAAGACCCTATAATGACACTGAGAAAACCCCAACAATCATATGACCCCCTATGAGCAGGCACTTGACGACAGTGGGAAGGAAAAACTCCTTTATAACAGAAAGAAACCTGCAGCAGAACCAGGCTCAGCCATCTGCCACGTCCGGTTGGTGGTGAGGTGTGGGAGACAGGACAGAAAAGACACACTGTTTGCTTTCTGGTGTTCACTGTAAGATTGCTAACAGGAATTATTGTTGCATGCTAATTAGCTATCGAGATGTGATGGCTAATAATACCCTGCACAAAAAGTACCACAGCACTTTGATTACTACGATTTGAGATGAACATTTATTCATGAATACACTGTATTAATATTTGGATTTATTTGGATCTGTTTTCTGCACTCCGGTTACTCCTCAGTGATGTGGAGGCAGTGGCTGCTCTGCTCAAGCGCTTCCTGGCACTGGAGGAACTGCAGAAACGTCGGCAGCAGGAGTATGAGGCTGAGTACGGGGACGCAGAGGATGAAGATTCTCTAGACAATAGCACCGACTCAGATGAAGCAGACAAGCTGTGATCTGTCTGAAGTGTAGTGTTACTCTAATGTAAGGGAGATTTAATTAGGGGCAGTGCAGCAATGCAGAGCCATTACAGAGGGTGAGGTTTGTGCAAGGCCCTTAATATATAGCAAACTCTAAGCATGTGCATGCATGTGGAACAGCAGGGAAAATAACCCTTAGTTTCTACTTACAGTCTTCCTTGTTTGTATTTTTACTGGTAATACAACCATTCAGTTATATGTTGTCCTGCAAATGTTCACAATTTAGGAAATCTTGGAACAGACCTTTTTATTTCCCTTTTGTTACATTCTAAGTGGAGTCTTCTTTAAGCGAGTATTATTTCATCATCTTTGAGCTAATTACTGTTTGAGACCACACTTCAGATTACAGATTTCCCGTGCCTTCCTACTGAATTTGAGTGTTTGTGTATGCGAGCCTCAGGAAAGTGCTTTTCCCACAGTTTTCTGGACCACCCCGCTCATAATTGTCTTTTTGCGTGTTTATTTGAACCCAGTAGACAATCCAGATGAATGCATGTGTAAACTGTAATTGAGCATGAAGGATCTTCTGAGCTTAGTCAAGAGTGAATTATGTGTCAAATGCTTTGACGTCATGCTTGTCTATCTTGTAACCTTTACCTGTTGTTGTTGTTGTTTTTTTTTAAAGTGAACCAAAGACTGTATCTCAGGAAAAGACTTTTGTGCTTTTGTCAAACTTTGTCTCATTCCAAGTTCAAATGCGTGCTGCTTTAAGGGAATAAACACTTTGTTTTTTTTAAACTAGGGTTTGATTTTTATTGTCATTGTTACATGTAGCTCCATTTACATATAGCAGTTTACTCTCACATAAGCGTAGAACCCTATATAAAATCACTCCTTTGAACTTTGGTGCCAGTGTGTGGCAGAAATTAGGAAGGCTTTATGTGAATTAATCAGCAATGTCAAAGACAGAAAAGTGATTCTATGGCACCATCTCCTTCAAACAGGCTGCAACATCCTCTGTTATCCTCTGAAGAGGAGCTGTTACAGGGCTGACGTGTTCCTCTATCCACTCCTGGACTGTTGAATCTGGGTAGAGACTTGCCATCTCCTCTCTCACTGCCTCCACCTTCTGCTGTAATGTAGCCAAATACCTGCAACGTGACCGGAAGAGAGTTTAAAGCCATACAGACTAAGGTTAAGACTTATCACGATGCTAGCTCACAGGCTGAGCTAAGTGCTAAAACGATTTAAATAACTGTTCTATTCTGCACATGCTTAGCACATATAAATGGAACCACAAAATATGAGTTTCATGGCAGCACTTACTTACAGGGGCCCTTTTTAACTATAGCCCCAAAACAAGTAACTTGTTCAAATTCCAATTTTATTTGTCACGTACACAGTCATACACAGTACGATATGTAGTGAAATGATTGGACAACTGCTCGTGACCTAAAGAAAACAAAAAAAGGAAAAGGCTATGAATAAGATAGGAAATAAATATGAAAAATTAAAAAGGGTAAATTTAACTAGGAAAGAATAAGATAAAATATATAAATTAAAGTTGAAAATAAAATAACTGTACAACAAAATACACAATAGATGTAGAAGGTAGAGGTAAAACAAATTTTCTGTCTGTTTCCTTTGTGATTTCTGAAGAAGATATCAGTAAAGCAGATGTAGTTTCATCTCTAGGTTTTTCTCACAGAGCTGTAACTGCTGTAAAACATATTCGTTCTTGCATTAAGGACTTCAAGCCTATCTGGCACCACAGCAAGCTCCTTTTTGTACATGTTTTTCCCAACATCTGTTGCATTTATTATCAGGAAACTGGTGCCATTAAGCCAGTCCTGTTAGATTTTATGGGTAAAAGAGCATCATAAGGACATTAGAATTGCGTCACTTCATATCTTCTGAGCATCCCTTTGAGAATTTCAGGAAATAAAGACATTCTCTGTAGACTTACTCTGGTAACTAGTTACCTAGAAAGGTGTGTTGCTACCACTGTCACACGAAATCATGTCAGACATGATCCCTCTGTGGTTTATTGACAGCATAAAAGATGCTCCAAACTTCTGGGTCTGAAAAGTGAAGCTATTGTGAAGTGCCCTAAACCTGAATTCTTCTCATTGGTCACCATGGAGCGATCCCATTAGCTGCACAGAGTCTACGAAAAATCACTCTTGGCTCTGACCTCAGCATACATGTAGGATTACAAAGTGCTTGTTGGCCAAACAGGGTCACACTGCTTCTTCATTTTGGCTTAGCTTTTGTTAAATATCATGACACATATATCATATAGTTTAATTGAGGTTCTAGTTGCCTAATTTTAAGGATTTTTAAATATATCCTGTACATGCTGTACTTTCTTTTTACTATGACTGCATATTCTGTGTATTTTTAATTTTCCACATTTTGGTAAAACATAAGGAAGGTGTGCTCACAGGGATGCTTGGTTGTGAATCTGCATGGTGATTAGCGGGGTAACAGTTTTCCTCTGCCGCTGGTATGGGCTAAACCATCCTCTCACAAACCTGCAGAAACACAAGCATACAGTTAAATCTCTACACTGGAAAAAAATAACTCTCGACAAATCTCTAATAAAAATTTATTTGGCACCTGTTAGCTTCACATTTCTAAGTTATACATAGCGCTAATGTTAGCTTGTTAGCTAAAAGCGGGCTCTAACTAAAGTTAAATAAAAAAAAGATCAAACGAAGAATGAAAAAAATTGTAGTATAACCTTTAAAGCTAATTGTCCAAAACCTAAAATGTAAAAATGAAATTTGTTTTACGATGGCTTCATATTTAGACTTCATTTTATAAACTTAGCAGCATAGCTTACCTCACTGCTAACAGGTAGCCCGTGCACTATACCAAACACTATACCTAACATATCTGGCTGTCTTGTAGTAATTGCCAAAGTAGCAACACATATAAATATTTTTAATAACATTTTTAGAATGTTTTAAAATCTATCTAAAGACTTAATCCATTCCCACATCTCACTGAAACTGTTGTTCAATGGCGACATGACTGACTAAATTTTAGTTCATGTTCGCAGCACACAAATATCCTTAATAAAGTGGTACACTGTGCACAAATCGTAGATGCTAGCCTACAGACGTGAGGCTGAATTGGCATTCAATTCCATTTAAATGAAATGTTATGATCATTTCCCATAACTTACATGCTGTTTTCAAAAAATCTTATATCTTCTGAATTGAGGAGTGCATTGAGCTCCACGATTAACTCAGCCAGCCTCCTTCCTGGGAACACTGTGTCAGCTACACATGTCCTGAGGGCCATGGGGAATAAAATCCTGTTAGCTTGGAGATGCATACATAGATACAGTGATGGTGTTGATTATTACAACGGTGTTAAATCTCACATTCCCATGGTCTCCACCTCCACTGATGAGATCCCCAGCTTCCCGGTTACTTTGCTCTGGGCCTCAGCACTGAACTGTCCGTGAAGGAGAGTCTGGAGACAGACTGCTAGTGATGGAATAGCCACTGGGATCAGCTCACACAGCACTGACAGATGGTCATACCTGATGAAGGGTAAATGATGGCCCACATAAACATCTTATTTTCCTTTTACTCCGTGGAGAACGTCCTCTGCTTCTTACCTTTGCCAGCCTGTGATGGCAATACCCTTTATATTTACAGCAGGAGACAAAGAAGCAGCCACCTTCAGCCACTGCAGGTGATTATCCAGGTGTCTCTGCGTGCTGGTCACACAGGTGTAAACACTGGTGGAGCCTTTAAAGGAGCTGGCTGCCCAAAGATCTGCCATACCGGCACTACAGTACTTCTCCAGCAGAGACACTGAAAAACATAGTTTGAGAATATTCAGTGTTTATTCTACTTACAAATGTAACTTAATGAATAAAGCGGATATATAGGTTGAATTTTTCCCAAGTCTTTAAAATGTAAAAATGGCCATTCAGAATTTCAACTTAAATTAGTAAAACAAGCTCAGTCAATTTAAGATAACATGTTGAATCATCATTAGGTCACATATTTTTGGTTGTATTTACTCTTTTCATTTTTACCCCTCATTGATATCAAGTTCTTAAAGCTTCTGCATTTGAAAACATTCTGTACTAGCAAAAAGAAAACTTACAGAAGGTGAATTATTAGCCTGAAGTCAATAGTTTTGCAGTGCACTGTTTGATAATGTACATCTGTGTACTTTACCTACCAGTTTGGGACACATCCAGGTTTGGGGTGTAGTCCCACAACATAGGCTGGACGAGTCCCACTAAACCACTGGCTTCCATATGGATAAAAAAAAACAGTAATTAAGAATATTTTATCATAAATAAATACAAATCATTTATACTGTACAGTTTTAGCACAAGAGTCTGAAATGTTTTTTTGTACTAACTTTATTGCAAAGTGGTTTTAGACAGTATTTAGACCCGTACACGTACAAGAACTTCAAACTACCCTGAATATCACCTCACCTTTCAGTGTGTCCAGGCTCATGCCTCTCATCATATCATCCCACATTATGATGGTCATATGAGGCCACGCCTCCTTGACAGCCCTGGCCACCTTGGTCACATGACTTAAGAACAGTTGCTCCACTGTACGCCCAGGTGAAGCCAGCCACAACTTGGACTCCTCGCCCTCACCCAGCATGTACACCTTGAGGACGCGAAGACGAATGTAAGAGATTCAGTTATACAAAAACAACTGGTTCCCCCCTGAAGACCGACCCCTCACCTCATCTGCTCCAATGTGGAGCGTGCTGAGCCCCGGATGCAACTCCACTACCTGCCTCAGCATCTCCATCACCACCTTCACCCCCTCCTCTCTGTGGGGGTTCAGGGTTCCCACGCAGTGTGCCACCTCTCTTAGGTGCCACATGGATCGGTGCTTTAACACAAACTATGAAAGAGATGAGATGAGCGCAGGGGCGACACAGAACTCCCATCTTAAAATTGAGCCACATGCGACACACCTCACCTCCATGTGACCAAATGTCTGCACGAGTGGGATCACCTCCATCCCCTTGGATCTGGCGAATTCCTGCA